GTCATTTGCCAAACACAATCAAGGAACTGAAGGAAAATGGGAGACCTGTCTGCATCAGCATGGTCATCATCTCCATGGCCTACTCGCTGAAAAACAGATGCTTTCATTTCAGTCAAGTCCATTTAAAGCAGTAACCAATAACGCAAGTTCTGCAAATATCTTCGGCAGGTTCTTAAAGGATTGTGATCAGCATACCTTTCTTCAAGCTAAACTCCACCCTTCCTATAACTAAACCCCCCCCACCAGAATTGATTCACAAATATAGTCCTATAGTCTGGCAGAATAGGAAGAGCACCCAGTCCACAAAATTCACACATTTTCCAATGGTCTGAGCGACATTAAACTTATTTTTAAAGTGGACATCCCACAAAACCCCCAAATGCACTTGTTGATTCAAAGACTCAACATAAGGACATCTGCTTCTTCCTGCATAAGAGGAAAGAATAAATAGTTCAGAACTGCAGGAGATACATCCTCCACTTCATTTCCACGGGGGAATGGATTTAGGGAATCTGGCGTATTATTATGCTGAATCAACTAGGCAGAAACTATGACTATTCCATACCCACTCGCCATAACCAAATGTTACTACAGCTACATCTCCAGTTCAGAAGGCCACATACAGCGCCACAATCTCTTAATAGTCCAGCTCAAGCTATTTTTTTCCCTTTCTTTAAACACTGTGGCTGTGAAGTGGGATGATGACTTCAGTGATTTTTACCTACATGATAGCCATAGCGTTTTCCTTTTCATTTTCCCCAAGTAAGATCTGTTCATGTAAGTTTTTCACCATGCTCTGCACTCCTCCCCTCCTCCAGAAATGTCTTGCTATTTGTCTTGTGCTATTGGCTTCAAACTCTGTTCCTCTTGTAAACTTTATATTAGAAAATTGTTGTGTATTAATATTTCACACACGGCATTTTCACATCAACAGAACACTAAATCGGTCATATTTCTCTTTCTTCACATACTGCAGGAACATTATTCTAAATGCTGCAAAATACAGGGACAACCTACCTGACCAAGAAAAAAAAAAAGCTTTGAAGGAGATAAATTTTTTATTAATTCTTTCAATTTACCATTGCAAACCTATGTCCAAAACTTATCCATTCTTTTTCTATAAGAGCTTCAAATCCTTTGATAGTCCTGTAATAGCTGTCCAACATGAGCATGGCTAAAGAGGTGAGCTGGGCTGTACGATCCCAGCCGTCACTGCAGTGTACAACAACTGATGTTTTACCAGATTCAATTTTATCAGCAATTCTTACTGCTCCAGCAAGAAGCATCTTTTAAAAAAAAAGAAAGTAGCATGTTAAAATGTCACATCAAGCCAACACTCTGTAGTAAAGACTTGTTATTCTATTCAGTCCTAGAATGTTATATTTTAAAATTAGAATTCAAAGCTGATTATGTGTCCAAAAATACTCTAAATTAACATTAGAAGCTCCTGAAAATCTGTTCATAAAAGAAAACATTCAGATAAACTGTAGACTATTGAGTAGAAACATTACTCAAGACTACAGAATAAGATCAATCCTTTTAATAAATTCAGTTATCTCGCAAACTATTATTATCTTTCTTCCTCAGCATTCAGTTTTCAACCAGTAAGTACAGCTAATCAAACCTATAGCAGGTTATTGGGCAGCCCAGACAAGAAAAGGGATGTGCTTGCTTGCTGATCCCTTGCCCTGATTTGTTGGTGCATGGAGTAGACATGATGTTCATATAGGAAACAGGCCTTTATTTCTATTAGTAATAACTTGGTTCAGAAGTCAGAGTGGCACAAGACGGTAGCAACTCATGTGAGCATTACACTTATTTTTTTCCAGTGAAAGTCCTTCTATTGATTTCCTCAGTCATGTTTGGTGGCTCTTCAATTGTTTAACTTGGAGTATTCTCTCCGGCACAGATTTGTGTCCACCACGTGATTCCTGAAAGCACTGACAACTATGTGAGAAACAGCTAGAACTAGGGCCGTTGAAAGGGCTCCGAACTTTGGATTCGGACATCAGCAAAGCCAACTCTGACATCAGTAAAGGCAATCTAATGAGACATTTGACATCTGTTTCTTCCGAGGCATGCAAAGACACTTCCAAAGCTGGAAAGCCTGAATCCACTGGAGCAACTGTGCATTCACAGGACACAGTCTTGAAAGCCATTCAGGCTTCCTAGACAAAGCTACATAGATTTTGTTCTTTTATGATTAAACTGAAGGATGCAAGGATGCAACTACTGCAGATCAATGTTAAAGCTTGTGTTAGTAAATTGCAAGGCTTGCAATTTGAGCTGGTTAGTCCTAAAGCTCTCACATGTTTATTAAGTCACAGACAATGCATTACTGCACTGAAAAATTATAAATATTACAAAAAGTCATCTTATGTTGTTGGATCTTTGAAAAGGAATGGAAAAAAGACAATTCATGTGACATAAGTATAGCAGCACTCTATGTCCTAGAAAGATCACTGAGAGTGGTACTCATGCCAGCCAAGCATTACTGCAGAAAACACAGCTGGGGAAAGGGTAGACGCAGGCAGTGAATAGAAAATGGGAGAAGGAACAAAAGCTAGGTATTAGTTTAGCAACACCTTGTGGAATGAGGTGGGGCATTATTCCACTTTGGACAAATGATTCATTTGTAAAAATTTTAAAGAAACTAAAAATTATTTTTTCCATAAAATACTTTTTATGTTAACTTCTCTTTCAGTATTTGTAATTTACCTATCATTGTGGTAGCTGAACACCACAAAGGGCTGGTCTACACTGAAAACTTACATTGGCATAGCTAGGTCTCTCAGGGGTATGAAAAAGCCACATCCCTAAGAGAGAGAGTTGTGCCGATCTAACCCCCAGTGTAAACAGTGCTAGGTCAACTGAAGAATTCTTCCACTGACCCAGCTACTGCCTCTCGGGGAGGTGGATTAACTTCGCTTGCTATAGTGAGTCCAGGTCTACACTACAAACTTACACTGGTATAGCTACATCACTCAGAGGTGTGAAAAATCCACACCCCTGAGCAAGGTAGCTATACCGACCGAACTCACAGTGTAGACAACACTATGTTGAAGGGGGAGCTTTTCCTGTTGACATAGCTACCACCTCTCCTATCAGCGTAGTAGCTTCTTCACTAAAGCTCTACAGCGGTGCAGCTGCACCGATATAGCTTCACCACTGTATGTACAGATGAGCCCTCAGTGTCTACACTGAACTGCTGCAGCTGTGCCACTGGAGCATTTTAAGTGTAGACATAACCAAAGTCTCTTACAATTAAGCTGCAATTTGAGTCAGCACCAAATAAGTTGAAAAATTGTGAGCATCGTCCACAGGCTGTATTCAGACAGAATTTTTTTTAAATCGAGCTAAACATATGTCAACCGCTACCATCTTCTTCAGTCTGAAAATTCTCAGGGTACTATTCTAAACTTAACTATGAAATTGAGATTTCAGGGTCCAATCCTACCATCCTATTCAAGCAGAGAGCTCCCACTGACGTGAATGGGAGTGAGATGTGATTATCTGGTCCACAGCAAGTTTTTTTTTTTTTTTTTAAATGGACAGTCAAACTTAAGCACCAAATTCATAAATTTGGATGGAAAAAGGCTTTTGGATTGTGAATATTTAATAGTTTGATAGGAATGGAAGATTTTAAACTAAATAAGAAAGTTAAGTTCTTCCCAAAATAGCAAATATTTATTTTACATTTTTGCTCCCTCTGCTGGCTTTTCTGTAGCAGTTAAGCTGAATTACCAGAGCTAAGATTATATGCATAATTTTGTGCACAACCCAAAGATGCTTTGCATGAGTCACATTCGATTTGAAGTTGTATAAAGCAAATTCCACATTAAATGCGATTCCATCAATATTTACCACCAAAAAGAAGGGAAAATAGTAGAGAAATCATCCATTCTAAAGCTTCTTAGAGGTTAATAAAACACTTAGTAAAATTAAACATGATATGGATTGAATTATTTTAATGCAGTGTTAAATAATAAAAGGAGACTGTAATCCATACGGTAACAGGGACCAATCCATCTTCCATTGAAGTCAGGCCCACTGAAATATGCATGTCCACAAATGCTTAATTAATGGCATAGAAGGATGAGGAGGGCTGCTGTGTTTAAAAATGAGGTCCCTCTGGTAGTTGTCCAAGTGGAATTTGAATTTCCCACGGCAGTTTTCCAAAAAGCAGGGATAATCCTGGTATCCTGGCCAACATTCACACTCTCAAGAAAACTAAGTGCTGTCCAGAACTGAATGTGATCCTACACTATCAGGATTTAACTGATTACTTCCTAATACCTACAGTATGAAATACACAATATACAGTATGGCATACATTTATATTCTATCTAATCTGAAATATTGTGTTCTAAATAAAACTTGTAAAAAGGGTTACTTTTTAGGATTATCCTGACCAAAGACATGATAAACACAGAGAAAGGATCTCTAGTGCAGTCTATTGAAATTCAAGCAAACACATTGCTTAAAAAGCATGCAATGTCTTTAACATCTATAGTCTCTTACCCTTATGTATTCCAACCAGTGTGTTGAATCTACATTGGACAACCACCGGGCCTCATCAATTGCAGGATAAACGATCTCTTTCAGCTTCCGCAATGATTCTCTCATCACATGTATGTTATGTATTTCCAGAAAGACCAGCTCAGCATTTGGGTAGGCACTTTCACTTTCATATCCTCCACCTTTTGCCTGTCATTTAAAATTTTAGAGAGAGTTTCTGATAAGGTCTTGAGGGGTATTTTTGCTTTCTAGAGAGTTTTAGAGGCGGTTATTTTAGAACAAATGAAAACACATTTTAAGAAAAATAAAAACTGATGTTTAACTTCTGTTCATTCCCTCTGAAGCACCTGGTTAAGGTTAATTTGGACTACTACGTTCCTTCCCCTACCCCTATTTATTTTTCAGTACACTATTTCAGTGCACAATTACTTCAGTAATTGGTACCATATACATAAGAAATAGATCTGGGGACTCCATGTAGGCTTTTTCCCACTCCTCCCACCACAATCATTACCAGTACATCTCTACTTCCTACAGCAGGGGTCGGCAACGTTTGGCACGCAGCTCGCTAGTGTAAGCACCCTGGCGGGCCGGGCCAGTTTATTTACCTGCTGACGCGGCAGGTTCGGCCGATCGCGGCCCCCACTGGCTGCGGTTCGCCATCCCGGGCCAATGGGAGCGGCGGGAAGCCGCGGCCAGCACATCGCTCGCCCGCGCCACTTCTCGCCGCCCCCATTGGCCCGGGGCCGCGATCGGCCAAACCTGCCACGTCAGCAGGTAAATAAACTGGCCCGGCCCGCCAGGGTGCTTACCCTGGCGAACTGCGTGCCAAACGTTGCCGACCCCCGTCCTACAGCTTTCTTCTATTTACAAAACTGACTCAAACTGTAATAAACTCAATTGGTCCACGTCCAGGCCATTGCACTACTTCTTTAATAAGTTACTATCTCGACAGAAGGATTTTCTTACAATACAGGACAAGGAGCTAGGAACCGATAAGTTCAAATCTTGGCTCTGACAACACTTGTGACTACAATCAAGTCAATCTCTCTGCCTCAGTCTCCACCCAACTTTAAACTGGAGATAGCAATAACTCACAGGGCTGTTGCAAGAATTAGTTAACGCTGAGAGAATGCTTTGATACTATCTAAGTGCTTACACATAGATTACTTTATTACGAGAAGTGAACTTTTATGGAAAATATAAGAATAAAGTTTATTTCTCAGCAATGTAATCTCCATTTTAACAATGATGACAACCTACCTTGTTTGTATCAGCCACACTGTTTTGTCTGGCATCAAAGATGATAAGTTTGTGCGACTGAGCATTGGCATCCATTATTGTTTGTAAGTATTTTTCATCTTCTTTGCAACGTTTGTCATTCGGGCCTATCAGTGGCTGGCTGCAGCGCGTTATAGTTGCCTGGCTCTCGGGGTGAATCCAAGATAACACCTGCGTTTAAAAAAAGTTAGTTTCCGGATAGTGCACCAACATCAAACTGACATTCCTTAGGGCAATTGGTCAGTCATAATAACCCATAGTACAACTTCCCAGTGGGGGAGAGAATGTAAATTTCAGTTAGAATAATTCATACCCCATACATTCAAAAGTGGGATGATGAGAAAATAGCAGATTAATACCATGCTGTAAAAGACATGGTATCACTGTTCCCAAATTTAGTTAGGTTGAACCGTGAAGTAGTTCTAAACACTATGACTTTATTCTCCGTAGCATTCAGAAACAGCCTTAAATTTTACTTTTGACATACTTTCTATGGGCTTAAATACAGTAAGAGGGTTTTCTGGTGGGGAGAATGGGCAGCTACTTCCATATGGAGGTCTATGCAGTCAAGCATGAACATATCTCGCTCCTTCCTGCCCCAGGCAGGAACTACTGCAAGATGACTCATACCTTATGGACATCACGTTAAAATTCCTCACTTTCTTTCTCCCTCCTGGGGTTGTCATTTCTTCTCTTAAATTTACCTTCCCCATGCATAATATGGCTGCATTTACAGCCCTCTATATGAGCATCTGAGTAGGATAATCTCTACCAAGAACACACTGCCATTCTCAGGAAGCCCACGATGTGGAGTCAGAGTGATACAACACACATTCCACCTCACCCCCAAACCTCATTCACCATGGGAGCAAGGGGGAGCACAGCCTGACACTTTCAGTTCCCCACTAGTGTCGGACGCTATCTTTGAACTAAAGTTCATTACAGAGCAGTAAGCCGCTTGGCAATTACACTAACCCTGCAATAACTATCTTCATTAATTTTTTAAAAATTTCCTCCAGCTCCAAAACCAGTAACTGTATTTCTATACATTTTATACTCTCTCTCTTGTAGAAGGGAGCAGGATAGCGGTCTCAGAAGCCTTTAAAAACCCTAAAGGCATTTCGGATCATCTCTTATAAGATGCATTACAAATACAGAGAGAATTCATAATGAATTCTAGAAGCCTTACTTACTGGAATTCTGCCTTTTGCTCTAAATGCTGCCACTTTTGAGAGGTCATCATCCTTCACGCTGGTTGGCACAACGAAGATAGTAGGATATGTATCACAAAGTTCATAGGTGCTGTTAATTTTGGATATTTTCCAACTCTCATTGGGCAAACCCTGTGCAGAGGCAAAACATTTATCCAATATTTTTAAAAAGTTAGATCTTTACATGTGTGTGTTGTATAGTGACTCCAAAAAAGAATGATCCATTACATGTTTTTAAAAAAAACATAGCCACATTGTTCTGCCCAGTGTTTCAAAGGTTATGTGAGCAGAAGCATTTCTCAATATTTTGGTTAAAGATATGGGGTAGTATGAAGCCCCAAAGCCTATAGATAATTTAAAAAACAACAGTAATTTGGATGGGTTTGCACTAAAGTAAAAAATGGGCCTATAGTGAAATAGAAAGAAATTATTTTACACCAGGAAATTGATGGATTAAGGAGACCACATTAAAATTATTCCTCTGTGTAACTGCTGTTCATATTTGTTTTTAAATCAGAAGACTACTTTTTCAGAACTGGTGCTTAAAATTAAGTCTCCAAATATGGATTTAGGTCCCTATATAAACGCCAAGAGACTTCCTCCACTACTGAGCACCTATAATCCCAATTGATTTCAATGGGACTTGTGAGGGGCCTAACTACTGAAAATCAGGTGACTTGCCTTTAGCTGTCTAGATATGGATTTAAGAGAATAAGTTTAGGTATTCAGGTTTGCAAATTGTCTGTGAACATTTCTAAAAAAAGGTAAATTAGATTCAGAAGACTATCAAAATAAAATAAAAAGGTGATTACTTGTATAACCTACCTGCCGCTTATATTCTGCAATTGGATCATAAACTTTCCAGCCATTAACAGGAAATTTTTCTTTATAGCTGAATGCAAAAAGTGGCTGAAAGCAACAACGTAAAAAAGACAAATTACTGTGTAGTATTTAGCCATTTAGTAAACGAGAATTCCTGTAAACATGGTGAGCTCTGAAAACGAAAGCCAGAAAAGCCAATTCAAGTAGTTTCCAAAAGACAAAATCTTATATCCAACATTTGTTTTACAGTAGTGCCTAGAGACCCCAGTCAAGACTGGCCTTCACTGTGCTAGTGATTGTTCAAACACAAAAGAAGAGACAGTTCCTTCCCCGAAGAGATTGTGTGTCTTGTCAATTCAGACAGCAAAGGAAACAGAAAGGTAAAATGACTAGCCCATGGTTACACTAGTCAGCAGTAAGGCCATGAATAGAATTCAAGCCCCATTACTCTCAGTCCAGTACCCTACTCATTGGATGATACTGAAATTGTCCACTATTGAATACTAATATGATACTGAAATTGTACAGCTAAAGCTAACAAGGCAACTATTGTTGAGTTATCTGGACAGTGAATTCAGGAAAGCACTTTAGCCTGGATGCACAAGAGGAGCTAGGCATTGTGACACTGAGCATCACAGCACCAAACTTTTAGGCCCCTAGAAAATCGCTGCAATTCACAAAGCCTGAGTTAGGCACCTAGGCTTCCTTTACAATGAATGAGGAGAGAGATGCTCCTGAAAACATGTCTGCAATAAAAGACCCACAACATGAGCACAGCTGGCCCGTGTCTGCTGACTTGGGCTCATGGGGTTTGGGCTGTGGGGATAAAAATTGCAGTGTCGACATTCAGGCTTGGCCTGGAGCCCAGATTCTGAAACCCTGTGAGGGGAGTGGGTTTCAGAGCCTGGGCTCCAGCCCGAGTGTGTACACTGACATTTTTAGCCCTACAGCCCAAGCCTGTGAGCCTAAGTCAATTGTACCAGGCTCTGAAACTTGATGCATGGGTTGTTTTTTTTATTGCCATGTAAACATACTTTTAGCTTGCAATTCACAAAAGCCAGTCCGGTAGGCAAGTAGCTACCTAAGCTAGCCAATGGGAGATGCCAAGCAGAGGTTGTGTCTCCCTCTCACAGTGATACGCGCCTAAGTCCAGGCAGTAGGGAAGCACTTATCTCTGCTAGCAAGTCACAGCCAGGAATTCTCTTCAGAGTTTGCAAGAAGCCCTGGGGGGGGGGGGGGGGGGGGGGGGGGGAATGGGGACAATTGGGCTATGGGATATTCTGATGTGGGGCTCCTTCAGTCTCTCCTGTTGAAGCTGTTCTACTCTGGATAAATAATTGAAGAGTCACTGGAGCAGTAGGACTGGATCCTGGATCTCCCACCTCTTGGGTCTTCCACCAAGCTATGGAGTCACGCATCTTGTATGCACTCTCTTTCTCTGGCCGGAATGATTCATTATTTATCCAGAGTTAAACAAGAGAGACTGAGAACAACCCACAGCCCAATGGTTAGAGCACTGCCCTGAGAAGTTGGCAGATCCCTGTTCAAATCCCTTTTCCCATTCAGACAGAGTGGGGACTTGAACCGAGAGTCTCCCACATCCCAGGTAATCACTGGGCTAAAAGTTATGAGGGAGTTCCCATAACTCCCAAACCCCCAGTTGTTTTGTCTGAACTCAGCTAAGGAGCCCAATCAGGTAGACGTCCTCACAGGGAACCTACTCGTTCAGATCTCACACAAGACCTAGGTGGCCGAACAACTATCTTCCCCAGTTTGTGAATGTCTGAGGTTTAGGCGAGAGATAAGCCACCAGCTGTCCAGAGGGAGGCAGCAGTATGCATGCCCAGAGGCAGAAACCTAGGTGCCTAGGGACTGAGTGAGATTAGGCAACTACAGGGTTCAGGGGGAGTTTTGTGCATCACAGTGGTCCCCAAACTGGGTCTTAGGCACCTAACTCCTTTATCCTTCATTCTGAAATTCCCCAATTATCTGTTACAGACAAACGCTTATAAAAGTCAACAAACCCTGACCTCCATAAGCACTAACAGGCACAACTAACGATGTCAGAGCTACGTATGTGCAACACAAAACAAATCTCTTTGGAATAAAAGGTGCCTTCTTCCATACAAAATGGAGGGCCTTACCCTGAAACCAATAAAGTCACTGTTTTCATTGGTAGCAGCACCTGGCTCTCAGTTCTGTAAATTACTGAAATAAAGAAGTCAAGCCCGAGTAATCTGAATGCTCCATGATATCTAGAATCAACAATTTAATATATTTGTTATGCAGTATTTTCTTATTTCCCTACACTTCCAAAAAGAAGACAGAGGCAGGCAGACCTCTCCTCATTTTAGTACTTACCAGCCCATTAGAAAGAGGAAATGCTTGCGTTACGAGGTTTTCAAATATTTCCAGTCTGCTCTGTTCTTCCTGTTTATAGGCAAGCCGCAAGTTTCTCATATCCTGTTAGAAAATAAGCCAAACTCTCTTACACTTTGATAAATTAAAAAAAAATAGAAGCAGTTACAAAGCTGACTGAAACCAAGCACTAGCTACTGACATTAAGGCAAATCACATTTTCTAACCCTCATAGTCATTAACAAAATTCTGTTCTAAAATGAGACTATTGGGAGCACCAGGATGCTTCAATATGCTACTGAAGTAGGCATTATACCCTAGAATTCACCAATGGGGTGAAACATTTCTTGCAAGTTTACCATCCAAATTCCAACCAAACCCAGCATGCTTGTGGGATCAGATAGGACAACAGCACAAGGCATTGTGGTTGCAGGTTCCCCTCAAGACAAAAAAGAAGTTAATGCAATTAAACAGTAATAGATAGGCATCCACTACATTTCCTAGGAATTCATTCTGTACCTTGCAAACAATTTCTATACCACAGGAGTTGTCTCCATGGCTCTGCACTCCAATCTTTTCAACTCTACTTATTACTCCAAGGGGAACATCAAGAACAAAATGTGGATCCTGAAATTTGGATAAAAAAAAAAAAGATGAAAACATTTTTAATTGCAGTGGGAAATATATGTAACCTAGTACAATTCATGTCAAATTGTGTGTTGTACTAGTCTTTTAAATTCCTTTTGAATTGATTGCTGTGGAACTTTACATTTAATTTAAACTAAGTTTGTCACCTTCTCAAAATCTACTTCAGCAAAGAAGAGATTCTAGGTGGAAGAAATATGCAAATAGATCTTAAAGTCTCACCCTCTCAACATTTTTGAAATACATTTTGAAGTCCGTCACTGTCAGTGTACCACTGACTGCTCCCATAAATGGACAGATATACATAACATCTTTAGCTGGAAAAAGACACAAATAAAAGTTCCATTTTATTATTGTAGTTATTTGTGGTATAAGAAACTCTTTATAGAAAAACAAAAATGTTATACAAGAAACCTCCTATAGTTCCAACTTACTAGAGATCTTTGAGTCTTCTATATGAAATTATTTCAAAGCCACTATAACTGACCTGCTACTCTCAATTTTGAGTTGAAAGAAAAAGTCCTCTGCATTTTTAAAAAGGTACTTTACAAAGAGAATGATCAAATTCTTCGGTTCTAAGCAATATGTGCTAAATCCCCACCATAAGCCAGCCTAAGAGAATGGTGATGTGACATCAAGCATTGCTCCTTACTATACAGAATGGAGCTATGCTATACAGAATGTTTTTGTGGGGAGTCCATGAAATGGCATACAGATATTTTATGTAACAAGATAAATAGTCTTTTGTCTTTCTCCAAAGTTGCCAGTTTGTTGTGTCTTATATTTAAGAAAACCAGAGTGGCTTGGAATAATAGCTATTTGTCCTGTAACCATCCATATGTGAGTTCTGTCCACATTTCATCTACTTCAAATCAGAATTGGAGGAGCCCCAAAGTCTTCATACTGCAGAAATACCAGGCTGCCCCATATTTATCTCCCTTTTTCTGATAATCACAACAGTGAACAGCATTCTCTGCTCTTGTTGCACCTTAGGCTACGTCTTCACTACCCGCCGATCCGGCGGGTAGCAATCGGTTTATCGGGGATCGACTTACCGCGTCTCGTGAGGACGCGGTAAAATCGATCCCTGATGGCTCTACCGTCGACTCCGGAACTCCACCTCGACAAGAGGCGGTAGCGGAGTCGGCGGCAGCGCGGCAGCGGTCGACTTTCCCGCGTCCTCACCGCCAGGTAAGCCGACCTAAAATACGCAACTTCAGCTACGGTATTCACGTAGCTGAAGTTGCGTATCTTAGGTCGGAAGTCCGCTGTAGTGTAGACCTAGCCTTACATTAGTCAGATGGGAAGGCTCATGTGGCAAGCAACAGTCATCCTGAAACTAAAGCTCAAGTGAGCTGCTCAAGTAATATGTCTGAGCAAAGATTATGACCAAATCTGGGTTTTGCATACCTTTTAAAAATAATTTCTACATTTCAGTAGAATAAATAGTTACCATTTACTGGTTTCACATAACTGTACTACTTGTATCAAACAAAACACCCCAAGATCAAACTATGTTGCTTCACAAAAACTAAACCTAAGGCCTTCTATTTTGCACATACTTAAACAGAGTGGGTTTATATACAATTATCAGATTTCCACAGATAATTTCAGGTTTTGGGAGCAGTTTGAAAAATCCGTCATTAAGACTGTATCCTATCAGAGATCTTGAGAGTAGAATGAGCGACTGTGTGCCTTTTGCCTCTACAGACTGGGTTACAATCTCCATTCTGGTAGTCAGTGATCTTTCTGTGGTCCCTACAAAACATTTACTCACATACTAATTCCACCACACAACTTTCCATAGCAAGTCATTTGACTGAAAAAGATCTAATTAAAGTGGGACAATCTGCACCACATTTTCATTTTCTTTCCTGGTTAAATCCTGAAGTGCTTGAAACTAGGGAATGAATTTATGACCTATGGGGACATTTTGAGTGCCGATGCATCCCCCCCCCCCACCTTGCTAATTTGTCTATGTCGATCAGCTGCTTGTTGAAATAAAATACCACACAGATCTGTTTGCACTATGTTGAACTGATTTACTTACAGCATAGCATTAGGGTTTGAATAACTAAGAAAATCCACAGCAAATTTGATCATTCAAGGTAGAATTATAAAATATAAGAAGTAAGAACAAAACCAACATGGAAACCATTTGCTTTTATCTTTATTCATAAAGTAATGATTTAATACTATAAACTCAAAACTACACATACCAATCGCTTTGATTGATTCTCCAGGAAAAAGTGGTGCCTCTTCCATCTGTGCCAGCTTGTTCCCATCCCTCAGTGCCTGGCAGAAATCCAAAACCATGAGTAAATCTCACATTCCATCTGCACGCCATCGATACATTTTGCTGCAAAGTGCTTTTGCTAAGAGGTTATGGGAGCATGAGAATGTGTATCCTTTTTCCCAAGCACAACTGTGTTAAACAATGCTGCATTAGAAAACAAGGCTTGATATTGTAGGTAACAAAGTATTTATTATGCAGACATTTAAATATTAGTAACAAACCACTTACACAATGATTAGTTTAACGTGCTAGCTACATATATAGCGCACAAAAACGTGAGCAATACCATCAGCCCAAAATTAGGCCAAAAAAATTAAGCTAATCTTTATGTTTTTAGGTTATCATCTACTCAAGAATGTTTTAAAGTGTTTATTTAAAAGCATTTATATTCTTTATTTCTTAACACCTTAATTAAATGTTAGCTATTTTAATATCAAGGAGAATTGTATGAGAGAAGTTTAATTTATTTAGCATTAAAAAAATCAAATTATATGTAAAAAAATATATATCAGACAGACAGAAACATTCTATTATACCCTACTTGACAAGGTACCATTGTTGTATTTATTATAATATCAGAATTAATGCACCACACCCTACTTGACCGGGTACCACTGTCGTACGTACCACTTGGTCTGACAGAGATATTTTATAGAGATGATAGAACTAAAAATTCAGATTATAGCTTGATGTCACATTGTTTTCTAGAGAGTCTCAAAAGCTGGTCAATATAAATTCAGGGCTTGATTTTAAAGCTAATTCTCAGGTGAATGGCTGCAACAAGGGGCCTTTAGTTTTCTGCTGATGTTTGCAATGTTCTGAAGAAGATTTTAGTGGAGAACCTAAGGGTTTACAAAAATTTTTATGACCATATCAAAGATGTTGGTGAGAGTTTAAGATTTCCATTTTAAGTGGTTGGTGTAAAAGTTAGAATATTTTACATTAGAATAGTATAAACAGTGAGCTAGTTTCACAGTATATAGAAACCTATACAGATACTCATCCCTTGTAACATATTTCTGACGTGCAAGCCAGGAAATAAGATTATTAGGGGTTTTATTTATATTTTTAAACACAGACTTTTAACATTATATTGTTTTCTTAGTATAAATTTATATGGGCTTTTTGTTTTTAATCTTGTCTGAAACTAGCAGAATTTGGTATCTAAAGCTCTATCACGGAACAAGGTGTAGTGTAGTAGTCAATGGAACTACTCGGGTGCTTGAAGGTAAGCACGTGCTTACGTGCTCTGCTAGACTGGGGCCCAAGTGCGGTGCTATTTATATTTCATGACCTCTTATACAGTCACAAAAGCGCTACCGAGGCAAATGGTGTTTCCTTCCTGCACTAGACATAATATAACTCCTCCTTCGTTGTCAGAAACGTAACTTTTAATTTGAAAAATGACATCAAAATAAAACATTTTTGAAAATCATTATGGTATGTAAAATTTAAAGATGTATTAATTTCATTAGGAAATGCCAGTCCTGACTGATACGTTACCAAATTATATTTTAAAAATTCCTGACACATTTGTCTTTGAGAAAGAGCACTACATCTCAACCAAATGTAACATAGTGGTTGTTAAGTTGAGTTCAGAAGCAAATTAAAGTTGCATAAATTGGAAGTACATAATTTACCTCAGCCCCAGATAAATAATAATTTATGTACTCTTTATTAAAGAATGTATTATACAATGCATGTGTCCAATACAAAATAAAGAGTAGGAACAACATTTATATTTCCCAATATAACCAAACATTTTTAGACATACCGATATGTACAATGTTTTCTGTATAGTGCATAGAAGACCCATAAACATCTTTTGAATGAAAGTGAAAATATTCTTACAATTTACTATAAAGACACTTCACCTACTCAGTCCCACACAGGGGCACTTTTCTCTTGAAGTGCAGAAAATCTGCAGAAAAGCTTAATGAATTAGGGAAGAGTTTTACACTATAAATGGCATGCAGGTAAGGCTAGGAATTTTTAACCAAATCTTTATAAGAACTTCAACACATTATTTCATACACAATCTGGTATGCCAAAAACTAAATTTTATTGTTTTAGCAGTTAAGCATTGTATTTTGCTTTTCATTTATCAGAAGTTCTACATTTTAAGAGGGGGCTTTCCTTTAAATTCTATTTAAAGTCAGAGTTCAACTATATTACTGTCCAAGTAGTTTTCTCACAGCTGATTTTCTAGAAACATTTAGAATCACAGTTTATTTTCAGCAGAAGCTTTTTTTCTCCCCCTAAAGAATCTATTCATAGCTAAGCTTTTGGGAGGTAATGTTGCCATCATTTTAGATTCTTATGCATGTTATTTGTTCAGTGCCTTAAAAATGTAATATTAGAAAACAGGGTTTTTTATAGCTACCCATTAATATTATTAAATTAAGGTGCAATAAACTTTTAATAAACCCTGAATCCAAAGAAAAGAACTTCAGAAGCAATGCATATTGCAAACTCCACAATGGTCTTCATGCTGTCTCTGGCACTTCTCCCTTTTGGGATTAAAAACTCTGCTTGGGGAAGAGGGTTGTTTTCAGTTTTTTTGGGGGTGGTTTGTTTGTTTTTAATGATAGGAGTTTAGAGGTAATATTCTAAAATTCTCTATTGCTCCCCAGAACCTAACAATGGATGATTTCTACCTACTGTAGATAGGTTATTGTACAGTAATTTACTACACAGTTAATGAACAAAAGATGAGTAAAACTTGCCACCTGATCAGCTTCTGCTTCAGAATGATAGCCATTGTGTCCATCCTGAATCTCCTGCATTGCATGAGACAGCAGTAGGGCAAAAGAGGGGTAATAGGAAAAAAACATGCAGACAACAGGTGAAAGGACAGAATCATACTTTTTAAAGAGACAGTAGATACCTGAACATCAACCTATTTATTCAACACCTTCCACTCTTTGCTTAAACTATTCACAGCTATTAGGCCCAGCTATGGCACAATATGAAATGGAATATTTATTTGCAGTCTCACAAAAAGACTCAGTGCAGGTATCAAAGAACACAAAGTATGTACTGTCTTTTTAAAACAATCAACCGTATAGCAGAGAAAATGCAGAATATAAATTATGTACGCCACATGCTTAAAAATAGAAGAAATTGAGTATTGCTTGTTGTGGTAGCATAAAGGGAAAATTCATGCATTTTTCATTGAAGAAAAAAATTAAATATTTTCCATATCCATTAGTATTCAGATAATTTAAAGGATTGCTATATTGTGTAGATCACATTTTAAATGTCTGTTTTTATGGTTTGATACATTTTTTCAGCAACTCTAATGTTACTGTCAAAAACATCTGTTAAAAATGTACCCAAATTACACCTAATAGCCAAAAGGTTCACATCTTTATGTACTTACACTTGTTGTATCATATTGGGATCTCTCTTATTATATAAATTAAATCATTTTAATAATCATAAAAAAATCCCTATGTGTTACAGGCAAGAACACAAAAGGTCATATGAAGGTTTTTTGTTTTGTTTTTTACTACTTTCAGTCAAAATTATTCTTCAATCTGCTTCCAAAATTAACTGGAATGAAACCACCATCATCTTTCACAGAATTGGATTACATTCCAGATCAGTTCCAATTCACAAATGGAAAAACTTCTCATTTAACAGATAACACTTCTTATCCTAAGTCTGAAAGAAAGACAGTTTATATCTGCTTTGATAAATCTAATTTTAATCACTTCTATGAAACCCCAAAAGAAAACAAATTAACAGAAGGGGTTACATTTGTAGAAAACATAGGTTCCGTTGATTTTACATGCTTCTAAAAAATTTACAGTGCAACAGCCATCACTTTCAAATAACACAGGATTCCCAACATTTAGACCTTAGTGAATATAGTAGTTAGTTAAAGCTTAGGCCACAGAAATAGCTGAAGACTGTTTCTATATTTAAAGTCCAAAGAAAGGTGGATGCTGGAATCCCAGGAAAAGGAAAAACTGGAAGAAAGGCAATTGAGTTCTAAACCGACAGATTACGGATGACAGAAAGTATGCATAGGCACTGAAGATGGTTTCTCACCCTTGAACATTTACTGATAAAGGTGAAAAACCAAAGAAAACAATCAAGTTTTATTATTTTAACATATTTTCTTGCATTGTTTCATTCCAATCACTGCTAGATTTGCCCTTGAAAATATTGACCTTTGTGTATTACAATTATTATACAAATCCAAGTAGCTTTCAGATGTGAAAATAATTGATTAGTCTCAAACCAGGGGATCAGGCTTAACTGATTCCCTTTAATAAATGCAAACCTTTGTTTGAATGACAGGGTTAAAATATTTAGAGAATAAAATCAGACCATTAACCCTCTCTTTTCTCAATTGATTAATGTTCCAAAGTGAGAGGGAAGAGAAAGCTATGAAATTTTATATCATTAATGAACATTGGATAAGACCGAGAGTCTAAAATTATCATCAAAAAGATGTAGGTCATTGCATTAGTGTCTAACTTCAATCCGAACTTTCTATTTTGCTCAAGGGCTGTAGCAATTAAGGTAAAACATGTACAAATGCAAGCATGAATTGAAATGTTATTTAAATAGAATAAACGAAGAGTTACCGTTTTTCCATAAACTACTATTGAAATTCTTTAGCATAGATAACACATTAAACTCACTAATACAGTGCTCTGTAGTCCAAACCATGTCAGGATCAGTCGTGAGCATCCATTTTGTTGGAATTAATGTAATAAAACTGAAGTTTGTACTGCACATTTATAACGTAACTTAAATATACGGCTCTCTCACAAATTGGCTTTTACTGCTCATGAAAAGATTGCAATGTATATAAAGCATTTCTATGGCAAACAAGCTGTTGAGCTGCATAGCAAAATGGTCTGATTGGTTCATAAAAAACATTAATGACGTAAAAAAGAACACTAGGCACACTAAGCTCTCAACACAGCACGAAAGACAAACAGGTAGGAGGCCGTTTTGCCAATAGCCAAATGTATTCTTACCCGTATATCAGGCCTCTTGTATACCTGTTAGTTAAAATACAAAATGTTATCCAACAAAATGTGCACTCAAATGTTGCTTTGTGACAGAGACGACATCAGGTAGCAGATCAGATTTTCAGAGGAGCTCAGCTCCCACTATGGTACTTAAATTAGTAGCAAGATTTTCAGAACTGCACAATACACAGCTGCTCCCACCACATTCAACAGAGTGTGCTGAGCACTTTTAAAAATCTGGCCACTTCATTTTAGTGTCTAAGGTCCTAAGAATCTTTTTATTCAGTGACAACATACTAGTAAAAAATTGAAGAGTTTAGCAATCCTTTTGGAGAGCATATAGTAAGCCCACAATAGCAGCTATGACAAACTATGGCCCTACACTTATGAGTCAAACACCAGAGCGTGTTTAATTCTAACTTTTCCCTAACTTACTTCCAAAACTTTCTAGGCAGCTATTATTATTTAAGTGCTTTCCACTGATACCACCTCATTATCACTAAGTTTTAATTTACATAAGACACTATGAATTTAGAGAGTTAGATTGCCCCCAAAACCAAGTATGCTGCTTGTGTATGGCACATAAGTACAAGTGTAACAAGAAAAAGCAAGCTCAACATGCTTCAAATTCCACATTCCCCTTTGAAGCACAATATGTTCCCTTCGGACCTTTGTATTTTTGCAAAAGCTTTGCGGTGGAGTGGAACTCCCACCATGGAACACAGAGGAGAGGGAGGGAGCCATGATACTCAGAATTTTTTAACAACTGTGTGTGTTGCTTTTGTGTATATGGATTCAGGGACATAGCAACAGACATTTTAAGAAACAAAAAATAGATAATCATTCAATCTGAAGTGCCCAAGCTGATGGGGAGCCATCTGAAAGCCAAGAAAACTGATGTTATGTATTCAAATCTGCCTGTCTAGCTAAAGGGGTAGGCAGACACATTCCACCCTAGCTGAAACTTCTGAGTAGTTTCCAAGGGTACAGCACTTTAAAACAGTCCAGACCAGAGTGACCAAGTCACAGATAACTGTGGTGAGGTCTGCATGAGAGTGACTCAGAAGTGACTCAGCCAGGGCCCCGTGGAGTGTCCTCTTTTTTTATTTTTTAAATATGGTAACCCTAACCCATAAGGCCTGAGCATAAATAGTGTAAGCTATCGCATTCATTCCCACAGATGACTCAACAGCACCTCATGATCAACTAGGTCTAGCAATCGCTTGCTTTTGGAATGAAGGCAAGTTGTATTCTGAGCAATCCACATCGACAATGGTCCCCAACTGTATATGTTTTAACTAATCATGAAGAGCAAGTATCTGTCTCAAAGCTTCTTCTGAACTTCAATTAGCAAGGCTTGAAGACAGAAGTTCTGTCCATAGTGCAGGGGTCGGCAACGTTCGGCACGCGGCTCGCCAGGGTAAGCACCCTGGCGGGCCAGTTTTATTTACCTGCTGACGCGGCCCGCGCCGCTTCCCGCCGCCCCCATTGGCCCGGGACGGCAAACCGCGGCCAGTGGGGGCTGCGATCGGCTGAACCTGCCACGTCAGCAGGTAAATAAAACTGGCCCGACCCGCCAGGGTGCTTACCCTGGCGAGCCGCGTGCTGAACGTTGCCGACCCCTGCCATAGTGCATTGCAATTCAGGACTATATTCCTGCTTTAAGTCTCAATTTTTGTACTAGCAATTTAAACCAAAAAACTTAGGGCACATTTTCAAAAACTGCCTTTAAATTTGTCTAATTAAAAATCTGCTCACAAATTGGGAAAACAGACTAACTACCCAATTTGCGCAAGCAAACAACTCTGAACACAAATTTAGAAGTCAGCTATCTATATTGTTTCTTTGATGTGTTATTTTCTTTAAATGCTAACCAAGATTTTAAAAGGCAATGAATGCAGCGTGGTCCAGTGGAGAGGGTACCGGTCCGCAAGTCAAGAAACTAGCTTTCCTTTGCTGACTGGGTGACCTTGTGAGGGTCATTTAGCCATTCTACACCTCAGCTTCCTCATCTGTAAGAGGAGGATAATGAGGCTCACCCACCTTCAGAAAGCACTGTGAGATCTACAGATGGAAAGCTTTATAGGCACTATTATAGTATAATCATATGGATTCTCTTTTGTCTGCCATTTACACATCTATAACAACATTTTCATTTAATATGTTGGCCAGTTTTACATGGACATTCTAGCTGATCAACTTGAATGATTACTTCACAACCATTACAACCTACTGTGTAAATATGATAAGTTAAATGTATTGGACAAATGCACAATAGTAAATATATATTCTATTGCCTAAACTTAATTAACTTTGCATTAGTTATAAGGTACTGTGTCCATTTTCAAAATGAGAAATGCTAATGTAGATGCATATCAAAATTGTGACGAAAAGTGCTAGGTATCTCTGGATACTTTACTTGGATCATAGGAGAAAGCAAGCCTGGTGGCCTCATCCTCAAAGAAAGCCAAACAAAAATTAGTGCTATTTGGCATGATTTACCCAAGACCAGAATAGGAAGGTTGCAATTAAAGACTTAGATGCTTTGACAACTGTGTGGAGAAGTTTGCACAGCATCTGCCCATGTTGTTCTTGATTTTAGTTGCTGCTATACAAAGTTTCTCACTTACACATACACTCACTTTAAAAAAAAGGTGACATTTAAAACATATTGTGTATGCAGTAGCCAATTGATTTTCTGGAAATATGTAAAACCTTGCATATTCCATGGCAATCAGGAGGCAATAGGACAGTAGAATTAATCATCTGAAGGAGAGGTTATAATGCAAAGGAGGCCCCTTTCCAAAGCAGCACTTTGAAAACACCATATAAAAGCTTCTTAGTTTTTAAAAAAACAACAAATATGCATTATTATTCAGGGTAGGTAATTAAAATTTTATTATTAGAAACTCTGCAATGCGATTTGCAAATGTGGGAGTTTAGCTCATTCTATCATTTCATAGACATGAAATGTTAAATACAATTTATAAACAACTAGGATTTTGAGCATAGAAAGGTTTAACTTTTTTTTATTTGTAAGAGACAGAGAATAAGCTAGAGTTAAATGCTGCTCATTAGGCCTCAAAATATTTCTCCCTCTTAAGTAATGCGGAAGATCAGTCTGGAATAGAGAACCAGACTATTTAGATTAAAAAACTGGTTCTCCTCTGGAGGAATGCATAATAACTCAAATGGTGAATTGAACACTAAACTCGTAGAGTATCGGGGGTAGCCGTGTTAGTCTGTATCTACAAAAACAACAAGGAGTCTGGTGGCACCTTAAAGACTAACAGATTTATTTGGGCATAAGCTTTCGTGGGTAAAAACCTCACTTCTTCAGATGCATAGAGGGATCCCTCACTCTCACAGACCCTGGGAGGCAGGCCAGTCCTCGCTTACAGACAACTCCCCAACCTGAAGCAAATACTCACCAGCAACTACACACCACACCACAGAAACACCAACCCAGGAACCAATCCCTGTAGCAAACCTCGTTGCCTACTCTGTCCCCATATCTACTCTGGCGACACCATCAGAGGACCCAACCACATCAGCCACACCATCAAGGGCTCATTCACCTGCACATCTACTAATGTTATATATGCCATCATGTGCCAGCAATGCCCCTCTGCCATGTACATTGGCCGAACCGGACAGTCCCTCCGCAAAAGAATAAATGGACACAAATCGGACATCAAGAATGGTAACATACAAAAGCTAGTAAGTGAACACTTCAATCTCCCTGGTCATTCTATTACAGATTTAAAAGTCACTATCATTGAACAAAAAAACTTCAGAAACAGACTTCAAAGAGAAACAGCAGAACTAAAATTCATTTGCAAATTTAACACCATTAATCTGGGCTTGAATAGGGACTGGGAGTTGCTGGCTCATTACAGAAGCAGCTTTTCCTCTCCTGGAATTGACACCTCCTCATCTATTATTGGAAGTGGACTACATCAACCCTGATTGAATTGGCCCTGTCAACACTGGTTTTCCACTTGCGAAGTAACTCCCTTCTCTCCATGTGTCAGTATATAATGCCTGCATCTGTAACTTTCACTCTATGCATCTGAAGAAGTGAGGTTTTTACCCACGAAAGATTTATTTGGGCATAAGCTGTTAGTCTTTAAGGTGCCACCAGACTCCTTAAACTCGTAGACTTATTCTGCTAAAATGAAGTCCTTGATCTACAGGGCAAATACAACATAGACAGCTGTAATGCAAGGTTTCCCACAATGCTTTATCAAAGACATCAGCCTTGACCCAGAGCGAGCATTTGCAATTCAGCTGCCAGACTATAGAAGAGCTAAGCTTTTTCTGAGTACAAGTTGCTGACTGTGCCAATATAGTGACAAACTCTGTGAGGTGAAGTTTTAAATAGACTAAGATCAAATACAGTTAGTGGCTTCATCTTCAAGCTCACGCTGAATTTGACCCGCAGTCACAGAAGTTAAGGAAATATGCTGTTTGTAGAGAGCATTCAAGGCCTTTTAAATCCAGAAAGCATTGGTAGATTATTTAACTACAGTTTAAAGCAAACAAGATAAAAATCTTTATTTGGACACTATGCATCCAGACCCATGATTTTGTTTTAATTCCAGGGAAGAATTAAAAGCACATGGAAGACCTGAGCTTAACAACACCTTTTGGACTTTTATGGGGACTGGAAACAGAGGTAACACTTGTGTCAATTTGCAGTGCAAGAGAGATTTAATACGCACTACTCTTGATAATACTTAGTCCTGCCTTGAGTGCAGGGGACTGGACTAGATAACTTCTTGAAGTCTCTTCCAGTCCTATGATTCTATGTAGGGAAACAGAAGAGAGCATGAAAGGGGAGGGTGGGAAAAACCCAAAGATTCTAATCAGAGCTAAGACATTGCACACTCATTGTCTCAATGACATCTATGTTGTTGGATGAGAAAACAAACAAGAGAAAGTCTGTTCTGATTTATAAGGGACGTTTTACCATAGATAGTGAAACTGTCACACCAAAACAAAGGAAGAAAAGTAAAAATAGGTAAATGTTCTTTTCACGTTGGAGAAGATATGCTCATTTAATGTTCACCAAGGCAAATTATATTTAATTTTTGTGAAATCCACATAGCTGAATTTTTTCTCGTGAGTGCATGGTGCATAGACAGGATTCCAAACCAAGAAACAAATGTTTATTCCTATAATTAAAAAAAATAATCAAATTTCCAGAAAATTTCTAGATAAAAATCAAAGAAAAAAAAAATCACACCATGAATGTACAATGCCACCTTCGAAGTTTCCTTTCTTTTCTCTATCTACCTTTTGTTCTGTAGAACTGAGTCACTTTCCTCTAAATGAGAGATAAAATACGAAGAAAATCTTTGCACCTCTCGATTCGCTATTAACTGACATTTGACTCTCAAATGGTCAAGGATCCACTCAGGTGTTTGCCATGTGGATAAATCAAAGTAGCAAGTTTCCTGCCCAGCCATTTCAACAGACTGAACAATTATTTTTGGATTCCTCAAATGATAAATGTCACTTACCCTGTAATCTCTGGATACAATGTCTGATGGCACAGAACCTGAAATCTGACTAGAAATGGTAGCAGCTATGAGCTGTTTACACCATTCAACATGGGATCCTGTAGGGCTACAAGAACAAAATAAATATTTCAGAGTGTTTAGCAATGATTGCTACTTTACACTGAGGAAGTGATGAGAACATTTAATTACACCCCACATGAACACAACCAACAAACAATTACACAAACACTAATGACATTATACTCTTTAAGAACAGAGTACATACCAGCTTTTTGCCCATCAGATTACTGAGAAGAATTCAATTTTGTTGGAATTTGCCATTAATTTTGATTCAGACGTGCAACTGTTAATCTACAAAATGTTCAGGGCCCTGGGGACATGAAGCTCTTGATTCCCTTATCAGATATTGTTAAAACTATTCATATATTTCTGTTTAAGGCCATCAAAAATAATTTATTTTGAGCAAGTGCTTCCAGGACCTAAGTGCTTTCAAGAATTTCATATATGTGACACTATTATTCAAATAAAGCCTAAGAGAGAGAAGCTATTCTAACACTGCCATGTAAAAGGAAATGAAATATTCTCTAAGGGAACACCTCTAAAACAATAAGAAAAAATATATAACTCTTCTTCAAGGGAATTTTCTACCTAGCTGTATCTCCTTTTTTGCATTTGCTAACGACAGGGAGACTCATTTCACATTACTGAACTCTGTAGTTTAGCAAGCACACAAGACAACCCACCCCCACCCCCCAAGATACTGCATCAGGCAAGTCTACAGCAGAATTTCACTAATCTGGACTAATGCAATGTGTGAATGGGACAAGGGCAGTGCAGACTGGTGAAGTTCAGAGACTAACAAATATTGAGACGGGCAGAACCACTGTAATTTGCCACCAGCAAATTTTAAGTGCCCTAGGTCTATTTCAGTATATTTCAGAGTGCCAGATGAGAGGATGGGGGAGTAATAGGATGCTCCCCATTTCCCTATTGTCCCTGCTCCAAGCACAGCAATATAATCTCAGACTGTGCTTCAACAATTTAATGCATTTTAGTGAGGTGAGGTTCTTCTGTATACATAGTGTTTTTTTAATTGAAGTCAGGAACAGAAAGTACAATACATTTTAAAAATAGTATATAATGAACAAACATATAAGCTAATTTTGAATTCTGGGATACTCCCAGAATGTTAAAAGTGAATGACTAATAAATCACAAATGTACACGGCACGAACAGGTAAAACTGGGAGTTGAGGGGGCGTGACAGATTGTTCAAGAGCACAAGATACCACTTAAGAGGCCTTTCACACACTAATTGCATTGTGTCATAGCGAGAAACAGTATATGAGTTTCAAGAGGTGCTGGCTGAAGATAAGCGTGGTGAGCACTGCAGCAGCTACATATCTGAAGTGGAAGACCATCAAGTAATTTTTAAGTCATGGATTTTATTAGTTCTCTCCCTTGCTGCATAAACTTTAGACAGCACCACTTCATAATCTATGGTTTCATTATTAAAAATCAATTACATTCCTCCTTCAGAGCAGTCTCTTTTACCATAGTTAGTCTTGAACTGGATTTTAGTTTCATTTGCGTCTTTTGCAGAGAACTCTACCCACATTTTGGGGAACAGAGAAAGTGTATGAATTTTTAGCTACAAGTCCAGTTAATGATAGTATTTCTCTCTCTTTTGCTCACCCGTCTCTTTGATCTCACTTACTGGCCCTCTCCTTATTCCATGAAATTTCTGGTGTGTTTCTCCTTATTCCATGAAATTTCTGGTGTGTTTCTCCTCATGATAGTCTCTGGTTTTCAGGCATCTTTTACTTTTGCCCTGATTCCCACGTTTCTAAGCATTTCTCTAAGCACACACTTCTGTTTGTATTTCCCCATTTTGTTAATTATGAAAATAATTTGGGTTTTGATTAGGGATTGCCACACCAGAAAGTTTTGCCACTTTAACTATACAAGTCCAGTTGAAGCAGCAAAAGAAAAATTTAGTATCTATGGATGCAGTTATGCCAGCATAAAAGTGCTTACACCAGTATAAATTATTCAATTCAGGAAGTGAAATAAGTTACACCAGTATAAAGCATCTTTATACTGGTATAACTGTATTGCTTAAAAAAACAAAAATCCACACACCCCTAACCAGCACTGATATACTTAGTGCAACGTTTCTAGTGTAGGCTAAGGTGGTCAGCTTAAACTGTATGCAACTATACCACATATAGCTTAATGGTTGACACATCTGAAAAGGAAAAGTAGAAGTGGAAAACACATATTCGTGAAAATTAAAACTCAGTGGTTTCATTTCCACAGTGGTTCATGTAACATTACAAAGGCGCTCTGTTAGGAACATCATAGTAAGAGTTGTGCTCTTAAAATGGGGCATAAACCCATTTTTTCTCCTAAAAGTGGGTGGCTTTTTGGTGTGAAATTTCAGAGTCAGAAAACTCAAAAATGATGTAATTTGGCTGGTATCTCTTTTTGTTTGTTTTGTTTTTACAGGAAGCGTCTGAAATTTGACTCTTACTGGATTTTTTTAGCAGTCTATTTATCAATCAGTTGCTATCTAAACATTCTGGGGAAAAACCTGGCAAAACTACTACTGATTTTAATGGACCCAGGATGTCATGCGTATCTTCACAAAATTTGGTAGAAAGGTGTATTCTGAGTAGATCGGGTGAGAAGTGTGGGAGGATTGTGTTAAAATGGATTGTAGGTGATTATTGTGCACAAGCAGCTGCCAATGCATAAACTATGTGCAGCTCCTGACACATATGACAAAGACTTTTATATGCAACGGCTGGCATAAGGGTTTATGTGCAGCTTCTGTTCACAGCAGAGAAGGCTTTTACATACAGTTTCTAGAATATAATGATTCACATGCACCAGCTGCTGGTGTATCTCATCTTCTTTATCAGCAGGTGCATGCGTACCCACTGCCCAGGTCCCCCTCTCCAACTCTGCACAGAAACAAACCCACACTTAATCATAAAAAAAAGGAAATTAATCTATAAAAATGTGAAGTAATTAACGTTAACCACTTCACCACATACCTGACTCAAATCCACAAAACCAAGAAAGTGAAAAGTTATGCCACCTAAGAGCACATACCATCTTCTCCTTCACCAACAGGGGGATACACCCTATCATTACAGCTACTGTGGAACACAAACCACAACCATAACCCTGCCCTTCCCGATCCCCCAGAGAATCCCAACCTTCCATCATCCCCGTTACTAAATTTAATGAGCCTCTGACAGTCAATCGTGATCTCTGGATGCTAAAAGTCCGGCAGCACAGAGGGGCTAAGACAGGCTCCCTGTCTGCCCTGGCCCCGCGCTGCTCCCGGAAGCGACCAACATGCCCCTGTGGCCCCAGGGGGAGGAGGGGCAGAGGGTCTCTGCGCGCTGCTCCTGCCTGCAAGCACCACCCCCACAGCTCCTATTGGCTGGGAACAGGGAACTGTAGCCAATGGGAGCTGAAAGGATGGTGCCTGCAGGGAGGGGCAATGCGCGGAGCCACGTGCACCCCCCTCCAGGGGCCGCAGGGGCATGCTGGTCACTTCCAGGAGCGGTGCAGGGCTAGGACAGGCAGGGAGCCTGCCTTAACCTCGCTGCACCACTGCCTGGGAGCCACCCCAAGTAAGTGCCACCCAGCGGGAGCCCACACTCCTCCTGCACCCCAGCCCCCTCCAGGAGCCAGTGCCCCGTACCCCTCCCTGCACCCTGAACCCTCTGCCCCAGCCCCCTCCTGGAGTCAGCCCCCCTCCTGCACCCCAACACTTTGCCCCAGCCCAGAGCCCCCTCCTGCACCCAAACTCCCTTCCAGAGCTTGCACCCCAACCCCCTGCCCCAGGCTCAGCCCAGAGCCCCCTCCCACACTGCAAACCCCTCGGCCCCAGCCCAGAGCCCGCACCCCAACCCCCGCCCGGTGAAAGTGAGTGAGGGTGGAGAAGAGTGAGTGGGGCGGGGCCTTGGGTAAGGGGCGGGGCAGATCCTGGTTAAATTAAAAAAGTGATCTTGTGCGTAAAAAGGTTGGAGACCACTGATCTACGTCCAGCACAACTCCCCACTACAACCAATATCTGCAACTAATGATTTTAGGAGATGGTAGTTCATCAAAGGAGTGTGTACAGAAGAGAAGGGGAGTGGGGACATTGTTATCGTTGTCATGCATGGTCTGTGGTGTGCAGTAGCTATGGTAATAAGTAATGTGTCAGTGACTTCCCCAAAAGCAATGCTCTTAAGAAACTCCTACACACATTCTTCTGCCTCAGAAAAATGGAGTAAGGGATTTTTTGCTGTTGTTCTGAGTTTTTGTACTCCCTAAGACCCTGATCCTGCAATAAAGTTTGCCAGCACAGCACCCATTACAGAATCGAGGCCTAATTTTGTAGAGCACTTAGATACCATACAATAGGTGCTATATTAAAAAAAATTCCTGTAAATGTCAACGGGTTGCAGACACTCAGTATTCAAGATCAGGGCCTGTAAAGATCTATTGGAATTGGAAAAGGTACAGAAAAGAGCAACAAAAATGATTATGGGTAGAGAACAGCTTCCATCTGAGGAGAGATTAATAAGACTGGGACTTTTCAGCTTGGAAAAGAGACGACTAAGGGGGGATATGATAGAGGTCTATAAAATCATGACTGGTGTGGAAAAAGTAAATAAGGAAGTATTATTTACTCCTTCTCATAACACAAGAACTAGGGGTCACCAAATGAAATTAATAGACAGCACCTTTAAAACAAACAAAAGGAAGTATTTCTTCACACAACGCACAGTCAACCTATAGAACTCTTTGCCAGAGGATGTTGTGAAGGCCAAAACTATAACAGGGTTGAAAAAAGAATCAGATAAGATCCATCAATGGCTATTAGCCAGGATGGGCAGTGATGCAAAACCATGCTCTGAAGTGTCCCTAGTCTATTTGCCAAAAGCTGGGAATGGGCGGCAAGGGACGGATCACTTGATGATTACCTGTTATGTTCATTCCCTCTCAAGCACCTGGCATTGGCCACTACTGGAGGACAGGATACTGGGCTAGACAGACCATTGGTCTGACCCAGTATGGCCGTTCTTATGAATCACAGCAATGATGAATGTCAATATCACAGGAGGGAGGAGACCCACTACATGCACAGGCTAGGCTTGCTTTGATGTTGCAGCAGCTGCACATAAAAGTCTTTCCTCAGTGCCAGGAGCTGCAAGGTTCACTATTGGTACCATGGTACTGTTCCTCACATATGCATAGCATGCCTTTTCCCCAGCCTAGCTGGTACCAAAGGAATACTATTCTCTTCCCATTTCTAAACAAAATTATTTTGAACATTATAGGTAAAATATTTTTAAAATAACCAACTCTTGAATTATCTAAATTCCAAATTTCCATCTTAACCACAGAAAAGATACTCTCCTCACATGCTCTGATAATTCTAACAGCTAAAGGACTTTTACTGAACTTGCAAGAAAATTCTCTTTCGGAAAGGTACAAGCAGGAAAGGTACAAAAGGGTATTGGGCAAAAATGGGTAAGTGTCTGTAAACAAGACTGAAAGTGGCTCCTCACTTCCTGTATATAAATAAATATTGCTAGTTTATCACTCTCAACAACATGCTCTTCACAAAGTAGATTGATATCAAGCGACATCCACTACAGTATATTACTCAGAAATCATTCTTTCCTATAATTCCAAGCCCATTACGTGTGTGTCAGGGTTGAAGGAGAAAAAAAAGGGAGAGACTACCCGACAACATAGTCTAAAGCTAATATGAAGACCATTGCTATTACTGTTTTGGTGCACTTTTTGCTTGATTCCAGCTGCTCCCGTTTCCCCCATAATATTACCCATCAGTTTGTGCATATTAGATTTGTTTTTGTTGATGTAACATACATATGTATTAGAAGTTTTTAAAAGCTCTCTCAGATACCACTTATCTAAGATAAGTTAGGTAATAATTTCCCCCTATGTTTAAGATATCAAGCACATCACTCAAACTGGACTGTTTTCCATTTGTTTGTGAGGTTACAATGCCCATCTCCAGATTTAGGTCAGCATCCTGCTGGGCTGAGCTGCACCTTAAGCTACAAGGGCACCGCTGGTGTAAAACAACTGTCTCAACCTTTTTGCAATAACTCATAGGGAAGTTAATTTTCTTTCAACTATACCCCCCCTCCCCCTTGGCTATCCATACAGCAAGAGAGGGCGGCCCTGGATGTTCCTCCCAGAGATGTTCAGCCCACGAAGGTGAACAAGCTGACACCAGGAGCTGGCATCAGCCTGGGACGAGCGGCCATGGCCGGAGACACAGAGCAGGGGGCTGCTGACGAAGGCGGGGGGCCCGGCTGGGGAATGGGGCGCTGGCCTACGTCCCCCCCGCGTTAGTGCCGCCGCCGGCGGGTCCCCCCGGGGCAGATCGCGGCCCCGCGGACGGGTGGGGCTCCCCCACTAGGGCCCGGGGGACACGGAGCCCGCCGAGCGGGACGAGCCCCGGCGGCTGGGGGGGACGTGCCCCGCAGCGCCAGCCAGGGAGAGCGGGGCGGGGAGCGACGCCTGTCAGGGCCCCGCGGGCAGGGGGCTGCTCACCTGTCCAAGGTCTCCACGCTGGGCTGCCGGGAGCCCGCAGCGGGGGCGGCGCCCCCCAGCCCTGCCGGCCGCACGGATCTGCGGGCTACCCCGCCGCCGCCGCCCTCCAGAGCCGGCCCCAGCGCCCGCTCCATCTTTCCGGCCGGGATTGGCCGGTTTCCCGCCGGGCCTCACTCAGCCAGCCCGGCCCGGCCCAGGCGGCGGCAGGAACTGTCACCTGGCGGCGGCGCTTACCCACAGGCCTCCGCGGCGCCGAGAGGGCGGGGAGCGGGCGGCCAGGCAGGGCCCCTGAGCTGGGAGCGGAGCGGGGCAGGCCCTGGTGGTGCGCCCACCCTCTGCCCCGGCCGGGAGCTGACCCCACAGGCGGGGCGGGGTGCGCTACAGGGCCCCGCCGCTCGCCCCCTCACACCCCGCGGGAGACGTTCCTGTGTCTGTCACAGCGAGGGGCCGGGGCAGAGCTCCCGCCACCCCAGGGCAGGGGGGTTGTAAAGGGGCCCCGGCGTCACCCGCCCACAGCGCCCTCGGACCCTGGTTGCCCTCCAAGGCCCCAGCTCCCAGAGCTTCCCTCTGTACACTAATCCCCCCCCCCCTTTGCCTTGTAAATCCGAGGGAGCTGGGGCTCACAGATGTCCCGAGTTTATAGGGACTGTCCCGATTTTGGCGTCTTTTTCTTATCTAGCCTCTTATTTCCCCCCCCCCTACCCTATCCCAATTTTTCACATTTGCTGTTTGGTCACCCTAGTTTTAATGCCTCCCTGCTGCCCTGTGCAGCCCTTAGGAGTCAGCTCTGCACTCACACACTGCAAAAGGAGAGGGCTAGTCACAGCAGCACTGGGGTGCCGACCCACACCTCCTTCCAGGGTCCTGGCATCCTGATTGAAATCACGCTGAGGTGTATGTAGAAGGGGGGTTAAACTCAAATCTGAGTTAGTGCCCAGGGTTAGCATGCAGTGTAGACTAGCACATCAGAAGTAAAGAGGTGATAAAAGGTTACAGAGAACACTACACCTAGTGGGGGAGGGAAGCTCCAGGTACTGTTGCTATCCTTCCTTCACCCAGATACGGCACTCCAAGCCCCTCTTCCACTGAGCAGGTGGTAGAGCAAAATGAGCAGGCCCAGCAAGGAAAGGGGCACTTCCCTTGGGCCAGTGACAGGCATACACAACTGGGGATGTGGAAGTGGTTTAGCATTAGAGATTACATTAAAAAGGAAATACAGCTTGGAAGAGCTCATTTATCTCACTTTAATAAAAGGGTTGTTTAGTTATGGTACTAACCTACTAATTAAAGTGATTCAACAGGTTTAATTTTTTTTTTTAAATGTCAAATGTAGCCTATGCCCAAAATTTCAGTGAGTTTTAGCTATGGGAAGTTTGTAGAGTGTGTTACTGCTGGATGACTGAATCTAAATAAGACAGATTTTTTACTTTGATCCTTTTGATAACATGGCCAGTTTTGAAAGGGGGGAGAGTATACTGAGTATATTGACATCCTGGTCTGTAACTAGTGGCATAGCTTTCATTATCAATCAGATTACAGGAAGATACTGGAGCAGCAAGCTCTTCCTGTAAAGGAGGAAGTAGGGTTGATATCAAAGATTTTCACTAATGGCAGTGGTAGATTTCATTAAGCAAGAACTCTAAGGAATCTGGTTAAAAAGTCTGATTGCACAACATTTGTTCCAAGTAGCCTGCCAAATGCAAATAAAGAACAAGGCTTATAATAGATTTTTAAGGAGCACACTTGTTTAAACAATAGCATCTTTAGTAATTAGCAAATATGCTAGTTCTATGATGCCAATCATGTGAAATAAATTGATTTGATAGCCAAACCAATTGAAAAGCATTCCAGTATTTGAGTAAGGTATAAAAAAATCCCTCTAACAAGATAGTTTTAATCAGATATTGAGGTCTGGGTTTTTATACTGACATCTTTTTCTTTTACTCAAACATGCAGCTGGATTTTATGCTCTTTCACAAGTCACTCAATTATGAAGAATTACAGTGTTACCACATCTGATAAGTTTGAACTGTAAGAACTTTAAGCCATTTACAAAGCAGCTAAAAACTCTACATTTTCAGAATTCTAGTCATTTATAAATATCAGTGTTTTGCTGAGCAATGCCAATGTCCTCAGTGCTATACAAACAAAAGGAGTTAGTCTAAAAGACAGGTTCAGAGAAGACAGCAATGAGGGAGTTAGTTTATGATCAGTGTACCTGTATTGTGATGTTGGGGTGGAGAGAATGTGCAACAAGGGTAAAAAGTGAATTTTCAGAAGAGTTTTGAATAAGGAGAAGATGGTGCTTGATGTAACACAACTGAGTGGTCATTCCAAGCCTTTGAGATAGTATGCAGGTAGGAATAGAAGAAGTAAACCAACATTTTGAAGCTGGCACTGGTAATCACAGTAGTGATGCATGGTATGTATGTGCAGCTTGTTCATCTTTTACATCTAAGCCCTGTCTGATATAAAAGAAAAAACAGAAGAATTTTTTGGGGAGAAGTATTGGGGGATTTGTCACAATGAAGATTTACTCCAGTCATTTCGGCACCATGGTATAGTGCAGAAACATAGCACAATAAAAGACTGCCCAACATTGCTCTTAAAAATGCCTAAAAATTCTCTCCTCATTCACCCTCCCTAAACTAAGTTTGGCAATTTTCATATAACTACCTTGGTCAAACACAATTGAGCTAACTGCTGTGTAAGGCCCAATTCTACAATCCACTGCTGTGTCCCCATGCGGAGCCTCAGTGTTCACCAGCATGCATTGAACTGCAGGATCAGGACCTAAATAAGCAGCTTAAAACGAACAGAAAAAGCTGTGTGTTAATAATGATCACTGTTTTCACACCTATATCCATAGCCACGTTAAGATTAAAAGGTTAGCATCCTAGAACAAATAGAAGCTTAAAGAATTAGAAAGGTTCTTTTTTGTATTTAAAATTACTATTTTAATAGAATTAAAAACAAGGGTTTTATTCTAAATCATTGTCTTGACAAAGAATCCAAGTGAACACATAGCTAAGTTAGAGGTTTCCAAAGAATGAATTTCAGCTCTAGCTACATAAAAAATGCAGTATCAACTGTATTGGCAATATAAATGAATTGTATATATGTAATGAAACAAGTGCATTTAATCCTTTTCACTGTATTAAACTTTCCCAAACAATAGGGTTATCATTTAGTGTTTACAAAGTAAAAACTAGATTTTCTTAACTCCTCCTGCACACTGCTGAAAAAGATTCTACAGGGGTGTTTGATCCAACTACTACAATTCTCAAAAACTGTAATAAAAAACTAGTTTTTTATAAACAATATACAAATAGAAGGCAATTACATCAGAATCTGCATAGTTTTTAAGTTAAGTTATACTCTGCCATAGAGATAAGTAGCCAAGATGAATTTGAGCTTCCTTGTTCATTAGATGCACTGCGCCCAATTTATTTTAACGTGCTAAGATTTTGGGGGGAGGGGAACTCAAAGCTGCTGCTCCAGATACATATGCTGAATAATATATAAGACAGATTCAGGGGAGAGTAAAATTGAGAGGACAAATATAAGTGGAGGTAAGCCATATGTCCTTAGAACACACACAATACAAGCAGTATTCTGAATTTCCCTGAAAAAATAGTGCAATTTTCTTAGCATAATATGTACTGTATCAAATTAAGAGGTGCTTTTTTATTTCTATGCAAAATACTATTTCTAAAATATTCCGATGTTCTCTAAACTATCTGATTTTTATGGAACTCTATGCTTTAAATTTAGCTTTTGTACCCAAATATTTACACTTTACAAAAACTGGAGAATTTCTAATAAACTATATTTTATATACTTACACAAACTCAATTTATACATATCCTATTGTATTTTGCTGTTACATTTTGTAGATCAAACTTACATGTACAATAATTTACAAAGGTAGAAGCCTCAAGTTTCAAACATTCCCTTTAAAATAACTCTATTATCTATGAACAGTCCTTTACAAATCCTATATTGCAAAATGTACTCAATTGCTTGAAAATCATTAAAACTTCCAAGTATATGCAAATATGAATTAAAATATCAAGTAGCAAGGTTTGTGCTGCCTTAAGTGCTTGTAACTCTAATGAAAAAATACCTGAAAGGAGCAAATTATAAATGTAACAATAGAAGCCTCTGAAATGAACTTCAAAGCAAGTTCGTTGAAAGATTCAGTCAATGCACAGTCTATTATCTGCAAATTTTATATACTGAAATCCCTTTAAATACTGATAAAGAATAAATTTGTTAAAGAATAGATTAAATGCTCTAGCTACACGTTTAAGAGGTTCCCAAACTCATTGCTCATAATCTGAAGAATTTTAAACTATTTTGGTATAAAAGCTGCTCTGAATTGGCATGTTTCATTTTAGAAAACATATAAAAGCTAAGCTTATTGCTACTATTGGACATTTAAGCAATGTCTTCATGGATCCTATTTTTTAGATTTATATATGTCTTCTTGAGAACCGTTCTTTATTTTTGGCAAATTAATGAAAGCAAAAATCCAGAAAATCTTGCTGACAGAACCGAGAATCAAAAATATATGTAGTGTTCCACAGCTAACAAAAAAAAAAAAAAAAAAAAAAAAAAAAAAAAAAAAAAAAAAAAAAAAGGAGTTTGCAACTTATTTTCCCCAAAGCCACCACAATCCTCATCCATTTATTCTAAAATCTTCATCTACAATATAAAAGTTAGCCTTTCTATACAGTTACCTTGTTTTCGGATACATACTGAGCAAGTTGAATTGTTAATTACAAGTTTCTTGTCACCTAAAGTCCTCAGATTTGGAATTATTTTAAACAAAAATTGGAGTAGTTTTCAGTTTACTAGAAAAAAATCTATTTCTGAGCACTTTGCTTTTGAAAGCTCAAGAAGATAATACAACTCTCATTTTTGCCTCAAAAAGTCTAAGGCCCCTAAGGCTACAAAGACTTACGCACATCCTTACATTTATACACTTGTGAAAAGCCCCACTGAAGTCAATGGCACTATTCACAGTGCATAAGATTGAGCACATGGTTATGTCCTGATCCTGCGAAGACCTAACGATGCAATAAATTAATGCATACTAATGAAAAAAATCAAATCATATTTCTAATTGTATCAAACTTTTACAAAATACACTTCTAAAGCATCCCATATAAGCTTCCTATGTTGGATAAGGTTTCCTGTCCACAGATTCTGAAAGGCACAAATGAACTGAAGAGACTGCTCTTTCAAGTCTTCCAACTATGGAGACAATCTAAAAAAAGTCATGTTAGGAAGAGGTCCAATATAAGGCATTCAAATATTCCTTTTTGTACTATAGATCTACATTAAGCACCACTTATGGTTACAATGTTCAGATAAAGAATCAAACATTTTTTCCTTCAAAAATGAGTTTGCACATGGGACATCATTTGTGAGGGAGATGCTGATGAGGTTGATGAATTGGAAATCTTAGAATTATTTGTGATCTGTAGTTCTTCAAGTCTTCTCATGTAGTCATCACGCAATGCTAGGAGCTCCATGTAACGCTGCTCCACGGGATTTGGCTGCTAGAAAAAAAAATCCAACAAAGGTGACTTTTACAATGTTATTTTGACCATGTTTCCTCACCAGGAGATTGTTCCAACTCCACCCAACAATTCGACAGCACCCAACATTTGCACTCTCCAGCGTCCCAAACAGTAAAACTTTCTCAAAAGGGTTTCCTCACATCGATTCTCCTTTCCTCACAACAAGAGATTTATATCCAGCTTTGTACAAAGCCAGTTCATGCTACTTCAATATCAGTCAGAAAAGCTTGCTGCTGAATGATGAGAGGGTTGTTTGTTCCCTCTTCCCCATTCTTGTTTATACTATCGCGGTAAGTTGACCTAAGTTACGCTATTCCAGTTACGTGAATAATGTAACTGGAGTCGATGTAGCTTAGGTCAATGTACCACGGTGTCTACACCGCACTGCGTTGACAGGAGATGCTCTCCCGTCTAGTTCTTGGAGTGGTGGATTACTGGAGTCAACCGGAGAGCGTTCCCCCATCAATTTAGTGGGTCTATTGCAGCAGAGCTGATCTACCAGTAAGTGTAGACAAGCCCTTAGATTGGCGCTGCCGCAATCGATGCAGTGGGTGTCTGTCATAAATATAAAGGAAAGAGTTGCATAAAATCCCTCCTTGGCAGCTGTACTGAATCACTTTACCTGTAAGGGGTTAAGAAGCTCAAATAACCTGTTTGGCACCTGACCAGAAGGACCAATAAGGAAAGATACTTTCAAGGGGGGGGGGGGGGGGGGGGGGAGGGAGGTGGTTTTGTTTGTGCTCTCTCTCTTCGTTCAACATCTCCTGAAAACATACCTGAAATGATCAATCTAAAATTACAAAAATTGTAAGTAAGGCAAGGAAATGTGTTAGGTTTTGTTTTAGCTTGTGAATTTTCCCTATGCTAAGAGATAGTTTTATTCCTGTTTTTGTAACTGTGAAGCTGAGTCCAGAGGGGAGTCCTCTGTGTTTTAAATCTTTTTATTACCCTGTAAAGTTACCTTACATCCTGATTTTGCAGGTGTGATTCTTTGACTTTTTTCCTTTATAATAAAGTTCTTCTTTTAAGAACCTGATTGATTTTAGTGTCCTAAAGATAAAGGGTCTGGTCTGTACTTACATTAAAGGCAATTGGTTGGTATATTATTCTCAAGCCTCCCAGGAAAGGGGGTGAAGAGGCTTGGGAGGATATTTTGGGGGAATAGGGATTCCAAGTGACCCGTCCCTGAATTTTTGTTTAAATCACTTGGTGGTGGCAGCAATACCATCCAAGGACAAGGAAAAGAATTTGTGCCTTGGGGAAGTTTTTAACCTAAGCTGGTATAATATAAGCTTAGGGGGTCTTTCACGCGGGTCCCCACGTACCCCAGAGTTCAGAGTGGGGAGGGAACCCTGACAGTGTCAATTTAGCGGATCTAGTAAAGACCCGCTAAATCGATGGGAGAGCGCTCTCCAGTTGACTCCGGTAATCCACCACTCCAAGAAAAGTAAGGGAAGTAGACAGGAGAGCGTCTCCCGTCAACACAACATGGTGTAGTCACCATGGTTACGTCGACCTAAGCTACATCGACTCCAGTTATATTTTTCACGTAAGTGGAGTAGCATAACTTAGGTCGACTTACTGTAGTATTATAGGCAAGGCCTCACAGACATCATGAGCACACCTAGCTCTTCACAACCCAGGAATTGAAAAGCTAAGTCCAGATTTAAAATCACAGTGTCTTGCTTGGAAGTGCTACTAAATCATCAAGCTAGACCAATAATATATTAGCATCCTTATAATTAAAAATATTTATTGGTTTGTTTGGTTTTTTAAAGAGGGGAGGCGGTGTTAAATAAAACCTTTGTACCTAAGTTTTCTGAGTGCCTCCAAAAAAGCAAGAACATTTTCTAGTAGTAAATTCTCTAATGAAACTCTGGACATCTGTTTTATGAAATGTCTTGAGCTTCAAGAAAAAAAAGCTATTCGTATAAATAGCAGTTCTTTAACAGGGGGTGGGGTGATAAGCATTTCCCTTTTGAGCACAATTCCATAAAACTTCAAACAATTTCTGTCTGTAGGGAGGAAACGATAAATTAAGTAGAAAAGAGATACTGCATGTGACAGACACACAGCCTTCAATTATGCCCAATTCCACAAGTGTCAAGGGGTTGCTGCTATTTTTCAGATATCTCCCTATAATTTCAGAAGTGATCCATCAGAGGAACAGTTTCAGCAACAAATTCCAGGTCCCTGCAGGACCAAATAAAATGCCACATACCTTTAGGGATAAATAAATTAATTGCTTTACTCCCCTCACATGTAATCTATTTCTCTAACATTAAGCAGCAGGTGAGATACTGGTACAACAGGTAGAGAGTATGAACCAACCATAGAAGCTGTTGGATTCAGTTATTACCTAGAGAATCAGCAGGAAAATAGCAAAGCTCTCGAACACTATGCCTAACTCTAAAGGAATATCGCACTAGGAAACTGATCCATTGCTTGCACAGAAGCCTCAACTGTGCTTTTTGTAATGATGTTGAAACGTATCTTGTCCCATTTACACTAGCAGTTAAAATACAGTACTGGTTCAGGGGAACGCATCAACAGTGAATCAATTTCCTAGTGAAGATGGGGCTTAAACATACAACAGGAAAAAAAAAAAAAAAAAAAAAAAAAAAAAAAAAAAATTAAAAAACTTAAAAAAAAAAAAAAAAAAAATATTATAAAAAAAAAATAAATATTAAAAAAAGAT